CCCCAAAACCCCAAAACCCCAAAACCCCAAAACCCCACTAGAGTTTAAAATAATTGAATTTTATATGAAGAAAATGAGACATTCGAGGGTCAGAAGAGAAGATTTAAGCATTTTTAGAGTTTATTTATCTGGAATTTATTTGATAAGTTTTGATAAATTTTAGTGCCTCATTTTGGACATATAGCTTTTGATTTAATCAAGCTGAATAGACTTAATTACTCTTAGAACAAAATTTATCTGTTATTCGAAAGCTTCTTTATTTTAGGATAAGCTCAGATAAAGCTATAAGCTTTCATATTTGATATTAATTTCTATTTGAGATTTACTTGAACTTCAAAATAACCCTAAATAGTCGCAGGGCAGAAAGATCAGCCAGACTTTTAAATACAAAAAATGGGATAGAGAAGACACAGGTAATCTTAATACCATCTCCTCAGGCAATATGCACTCACAAAGATCATAAAAACCTCTCAAAAGTTTGATCTCACCGTGTTTCCTTTAAAATAACAAAGTGTTTACTTTAGTTTCTAAATCCTAAATAATTTGAAATTTCAAAGAATCCTAATAATAAGATTTGTTAAAAAGATTTTACTGCAAACATCTAACTGCTACCAGCAATGCAATCAAAACTTGCAGACCCCAACAGGAGTATCTGAGAGATTGTTAATGAGCTACATGTTCTTATTGACCTGAAGGTAAAATCCAAGCTCACAAAGTAGCTGACTAAGATAGAGGAAGGGAAGAGAGCAAGGAAGAAGCAGAGAGAAGGTAGGGGTAGTAGGGTAAAGCAGGGACAGTGGTTTAGGGAAAGCAGAGAGGAAGGAAGAAGGCAAGAGAGGAAGGAGGATTGGGGAGAGGGAAGAGAGGTATGGGGTTAAGGGGAATTTTAGGGTGGAGGGAAAGGAGAGTGGGCAAGAGGATGTGAAGAGGAAGATAAAGAAGCTTCATAAGAGGAATGAAGAGCTTACGTCGAGTAGGGTGGTTATTTTTGGGGTTTATGGAGAAGAGATGGAATTTGTGGTGATAAGTTTTTTAGTGTTGAAGAAGAATGTTAGGGATAAGAAAAAGTTCTTTTATTCCCAAAAGAAGAAGGAAGAGAGATCACAACTGACAACTTTTCAAACAATGATTAAGGTCGATACCAGATTGAGGAAATTTCGAGAAAAATTAAAATAAATCTTTTTCTCAACAAAGATCTGTTGAAAGAAAGCGCAAGGAACGTTCAAAGAATCTCAAGGCCAAGGCTCTCCAGTCTCATTATACAGATGATATAGTTGTACATCGGGACCTCTCTGAAAGCATGCTTATACTATAACATTTAGATAACAGTGATAATTCAATCATAATTATATCCAAAACGAATAGCACAAGAATTTCTCCAAACAGAGAAATCAAATAACCACATTAAGCAAGAAAAAGAACTTCGGAAGAAAATTGAGCTCCTTTCCGCAAATCTAGAAGCAAAAAATGAGAAGATTAGGAGAAAGAAGATTCTCTTAAACCAGTTGACACGGAAGATGGTAAACCGTGGGCTTAAGAAGTCCTTCACATTAAACACACGTAACCTCCCTCCTTACATATAGTACACTTGCCTACATCCACTACAAAACCAAATTCCAGGTACAAATAATAACCCTATCTGCGAACAACCAGTTCAAATTCCTTAAAATCACGGCTAAATCTCCTCAAAAGTAAATATTCGCAGTCAAATTTGCCTAAATTTACAGTATAAAAATTGTGAAAAGTGCTAAAATATGGGCGAAAATTTTTACCGTCAATTTTTGAACGTGATTTTGGGGTTTTGGGGTTTTGGGGTTTTGGGG